TATTAATAGTTTTAATGATTTCTACATCGTCAGTCCTTTTTTTTCTGCTCTGTTGTCAACATGTACAGTTATGGGAAATCCGGACTCTTGCCCGTTTAGCGCTAGCCGTTAGCTTCTCCAGCCGATCACACGGTCACGTGGTCTTTGCGCACTCCAGCTGTTATATAAGACCTCCTTGTTCTCCTCCTGCTGTAGGTATCTCCTCCTGGAAGGCGTTTGTGGTACGGTGGCCCAGAGGAGCCACGTCTTCAGCAGCTTTTTCTACAAACAGCTGAGCAGACGCCGAGTGGCTGGTGAAGACGAGGCCCCCTCAATCCCGTAAGAACGCCGCCACCCCATGAACCGTTAAATCTCAGACTGATGAAGGTGTTAACTCTTCTTCCTCTGCCTGTCGCAGCGATCGTCACATGAGGCATCAGAGGGTGAAGACGTGGACGCGCCACATAGACATTTTTACCAAAGACTTCCTGTTCGTGCCTGTCAATCAAGAGTAAGTTGATTTGTTTGTTTTTGTGTTTATGATGAAACTGCGGGAGTCTTCCTCAGCTCCTGTAGTTCTTCATCACACAGCTACAGCTCATCGAGTCAGCTTTGACCGCACAGCTTTTGGTTTTAACAGAATCAGGAAGTCTTATTTCAGTTTTACCTCATTGTATGACTCAGCATTTAGTCTATTGTTTTCCAGATTTTTTTGTACACATTTTAACATCAAACTTCAGGTGCAGATTTTATGCTAATAGCTAAAAACAACAAAAAGGCCAACGTACAGCTAAAATAAGCAAAACACTAACTACAACCTAAAACATAAAATGGTAAGCAGCAGCAGAAGACCAAGATTAAGTCAGTCATGTTTTTGACTCGTCTTGTTTTAGAGCACTACATGGTAAATGGACTGTACTTATATAACACCTCTCTGTCCAACCAGGACAATGAAAGTGTTTTACACCACAATCATCTGTTCACACAGCACTCTATCTCTTTACACAGCTAACATTTACAAATCAATCAGTCCCATTCATACTCTGATGGGACACGCAGAAGAGGCAGTGGGGCTTCAGTGTCTTGCCCAGGGACACTGACGTGACTGAATAGTGGGGAGTTGAACCACCAACTCTCTTGTTGAAGGACATCTGCTCTAACCACTCTCTCAGACTATTCTCCCTTAACTGGGCCACTATGATGGAGTGGTTAGGGGAGTCGTCCTGTAACCGGAGGGTTGCTGGTTCGATACCCCATTCCAGCTGTCTCAGTTGTCATGTCCTTGGGCAAGACATTTCACCTACCGGTCAGAGGGTCCGGTGGCTCAATACGGCAGCTCCGCCTCTGTCAGTGTGCCCCAGGGCAGCTGTGATATGATGTCGAGAGTAGAGATCACCTTTGAAGACATTGTTTATTTCTTAATATATAAAATTAATTAGCCGGGGCGGCTGTGGTGTAGTGGTAGAGCAGCCGGCTTGGGACCCGAAAGTCTTAGGTTCGCCCCCCCGCCATACCCACATGTCGTGGTGTCCTTGAGCAAGACACCTAACCCTAACTGCTCCCCGGG